TGCTCCGAACTGAGGCCCGAGCGGCTTACAGCCGCCGGGCCTCGCCAGTCTCCCCGCCCGCCCGCCTGCCAGCCAAGCCTTGTCCTGCCCTCCTGTCCCCTTTGGCAGTGGCAAGGCAGTTTGCAGAGCGTTCCCTGCGCATGCGCAGGAGACGCTCTGTTACTTTTGGGGGGATTTAAGTATCTCCCTGATATCTTTTTCAGGTTTTCAGATTTTTGTGCACACCGGGGGACTGTCCCAAGTGTGCACGAAAATCTCCCCCCCCAGGTGCCCCCATGCGTGGATTTAGGTATCCGCACGCAAGGGGGCACCTTCACTATTAGATATATAGATAAAATCATTAAAAATACAATTCAAAACAACCCAACCCCCCCAATATATTCAACACAAGAACAAACCTAGCAACCAATTTCATCCATCAGGAGCCACGACATACAACCAAAATAGCCCTCTAGTAAACTCAAAGACCGAATACCTGCTTAAGAAAAAGGTCTTTACGACATACCTGAACAACCGGGAATTCCTAAGACTTGAGGTGAACACCAGTTGTTTTGTACTAGCCATTGAGATGACCTTGGACTCTTGATGAAACCGGAGCATGCCGAAAGGACACTTCAGTGATGGGAAGGGGAAATCAACTACAGTATTGTGTCCCACAACAGTTAATCTACTCTAAATATTACCCCTAAATTCTTGGGTATCATCATCAACCCAGAATACAGCTCTCTTGAGCACATGGTGCCTTAGTTCAGACCGCTCTGAAGCCCAAGCTGGCTTGGGAGTGAGGCGTGGGGAAAGGAAGGGATTCAACCTTCCCTCCCACACCACCTTCCCAAGCCAAAACCGCAGGGTGGGGAGGAGCCATTTGCCACAACACGGGACTCCAGATGCACTGACTGCAGCTTGTGGGAACCCACACTGGGGCAAACGGCAATGCCCAACTGCCATTTCTGTTTAGGAAAGTGGCCTTGGAGGGAAGCCCCCTCTTCCTCCTTGCTGCACTCTAGAGCCAATCGGGGCCCCCGGTGCATTGGGAACGTTAGTGGTGTGGCCCCTCCCACTGGCATCACACGTGATTGCAAATTGGGTCGGGCACCTCCGACCTAACTTGCATCCTGTGTATCATTGGTAGATTGGATGGTAGGTTGGCTGTCCTGGATTTCAGCAAAAAACCCTCACAATCACCTTGTTTGGCCCTATGAAAGCTGGAGGAGCAGAACGGCAAAAGATGGCCTCCCTCTGCACTCCCTCTGCACTCCAGGGGGGGTACGTCAGTCCCCTTTTAATCAGCTACTGTGAGGCTCCTTTGAATCGACACTTCAACCTGGACTTGAATAGGGAAGGAAGTCCAGAAGAGGTCCGAGAAGAGATTAGAAGCCAAAAGAACAAAACAGACCGAATGATGCTTTTTGAAAGACTGCCCGGATCTCTTTGATCTTCCGCTTTTACCTGCTACTGATTCTTTTAAAGAGAAGGCTAACAAGAGCACAGAGAAAGGTGTCTCAAAAATATAAAAACAAAGGAGTCGACCTTTTCCCCCCACATACACATCCAAGGAAGCAGAACGAAGGAGGATCTTTTTATACCTCGTCGGACAGAGTCTCAACTCTTCTTGTTGCTTGGCTCTGAGAACTCCTTTTGTTGGGTGCTGCCGAGCTCGACAACCTAAGCAAAAAAAACCCCAGAACGCAGTTTCAGGGAGGTAGCTGGGTTGATCTGCAGCGGTAGAGCAGGATTCCGGTCCAGCAGCACGTTAAAGATCAACAAGATTTCCAGGGTATAACCTTTCAAGATCCCCACCACCCATGTTCCCACGCGGTCACTTCGCCAGAGCAGGCCCTTTACACCACTGACTTAGATAGCTGTTTAGGAAGGGACTGAAAGTAGTTTGGCAAACCACCAGACAGCAAATTTTTCAAATATGCTCAATATATTTAGTTTTCTCATACTCATTTTTTGCATTCCTGCAACCACCAGACATTTGTAGCCTTGACCGTCAAATGCAGAATTTGCGGTCAAAACAATGCAGGCTTCTTGGTGACACCGAGGAATGAAAATAAAACCTCTCGAAAGTGACTGTGTTCTCCACGAGGTGTGGGCCACCAAAGCCAAAAAGCTGAAGTCGAAGGTTGCTGGATTGGCCTGCATCCATCCCAAAGGGAGGTATTGACCTTGCAAGGAAGAGCACTGGGCTACCAATCTTTATGAACTTGTAACTCTGATGGAGGCATTGGGAGAGGATGCCTAATCTTTTCCCCACCCAGTAAATCTGTACTGCAAATCCCCTCCCTAGGGCAATTTTTAACTTTTTCCTTCTAAAAGTCCCAAAAGTGGAGAAAATGTCCCTGGAGGAGGCATTTACAAGCAAGTATCTGTGACCTCAGGGAGACACTAGTTTGCAGAGATAACATCATTTCTCGTTAATGCCACTGTCCCCCCTCCCCCCCAACTGAGTCTGTTCTTAAAATAGAGGTACAGGGCTAAGCGGGGTTAATGCTTCACAATTCCTCACATTTTGTCTCTGGAAGCGCCCCCCAGTCACACATCAAAACAACCTAAAAGCCCCTGGAAACGAGGGTATTAACCTTTGATTTGCTGTGGAAGACGGAGTAAAGGACACTTCTTCCAGATCGGAGTCATCATCTTCAATTACCTGGAAAGGGCAGAAAGGAACAACAGCATTATTATTAATCAGATCAGTGGTTCTTAACCTTTAATGCACTACCGCCAACCAAGTACGTATCATCAAATACACACACACATTGAGTCATTAGGTAAAATATTAGGACGTTGAAATGGCACACTCGACCCCAAACAACTTTACTGGTATAGGTTTAAGAGAATGAAAGAGGCTGTTAAAAGCCTGCCAACCTTTATTTCCGCTTCACTGGCAATTTCTAGAGAACCTCATTTCCCCCTTCGCATCTGTTGTCTTCTTTTTGGACGCTCACCACCAACGCTCCCCTCTAAGCTGTGGAGTCTACTTTGCAAGCTAACTTGTGAGCGAGCGATTTTTCTACTGCACAAATTAATTTGCTCTGGAGCCATACTTCCTGAACTAAGACAAAAATGTGTGAGCTGGAGCTAGCTGGGAGCTAGCTCACACTAACTGGGAGCTAGCTCACACTAACTGGGAGCTAGCTCACACTAACTCAGCTTAGAGGGAACCCTGCTCACCACATATACTTACTCTCACGGACGGATGGAGTTTACTTTTTTTTTCTGCAAGCAAGGAGGAGGCATTTCTATCTGATCCCTTTACTGTGTGTTTTTAAGCACCTGAGGAAGAAATCTTAAGACCTGAGATTCCACCCTCAGGACAAGGACAGCATAACTTAGAAACAAAAACAGTCTCTCTTATACCAGCTGTCAGAAGACACTGCAAGTGGGAAGATGGGGCTGCCCCTAAAATCTCAAGTGCCCCCTTTTCCCCTGCAAAGTTCTGAATGCCCCGCCGAGAGTAGCAGACTGACCCCTCAGGGGATATGGTCCCCAGTCAAAAACTGCTGGCCTCACTGGTCGCGCAGAGACGAATACCAAAATGTGAAGTTTCCTCTGTGTTAAACTGCCATTGTTCAGCTTGTGATTCCTGCCTCTAAAGTCTCTTGCTCTGCTACTTATGCTCTTGCTGTTGATGCTGGTAAAACCACAACTCTGCCCACCTTCTTCCTGTCATGTGACTCTGATGTCACATGACTTCCTATCACACGTTTGCAGCTTCGGAAGACCCAGATTTGGAAATGCTGAAGGCCACTGCAATAAAATATCTGCTGTGTCTTAGACTATAACCCGCTACCTACCTCTGAATAACTCTTGGCAGGAACGTTCCGGGAGGGCTGCTGCCTTGGTGATTTAAAAGCTAGAACCAAATAGAGCAAGAAAAAAATTAGTGTAGACTGTCCTCTTCTATGCATTAAGCTCTACTGCAGAATTTACAGCATCAATACAGTTTTTTAAAAATAACTCATGGAACAGTTTGCAATGCCCAACTGTAATTAAACAGTTAAGAACAGAGAAGTACATACTGTTATTGCAAAAAGGGAAGGCTACGGCTGCATTTGGACAGCAAACGTAAGCTGCAGTTAAGTTAAAGAGTATAAACTCAACTTCTCATATGTCTAACTCCCCTCTTGCATGAAAGAAGGGAATCGTAAAGGAATGAGGCACACAGTCAGTAATGAGCGAGATTTGCGCACAATTTAACTTAATGGTGTTTAAGAACAAAGTCTGATCCCCCCTGGGTTTTCATAGGCAAAAGGCAACTCTTTGATTCCTGAACAACTGCAAATTAGACCAGGCAAACCTCCATAAAATGCATATTATATTTGTAGTTGTGTGAATATTAAAGGGGCAGAGACGAAATTTCACTCACTGATTAAATGTGCCATTGAGTAACATCTACAGTTTGAAAAAAATATGATAAGACACATCAAGTATTGTCAGAGAAAAAGTTGATGGTGACATTAAAGACACTTGATTGATGCAGACGGTATTGTGAACAGGATGTAAGGGCTCCTGTTTTATGCACAACTGCTATTGTAGACTTCAAGACTTTGTGGAGGGAGGACTGTAATTAAAAAAACCTCATGATGCCTAAATGAGTCACTGTGGATACTTAGGAGAGCTTTCACCGGAGAACTGTTGTCATTAGATAACAGAACACACTTGATGTGCTGACATCAGAAACATAAAAAAATCATTTCCAAGGACACTAAGAAACAAGATTCAATAATACCCATCAAACAGTCAACCGAATATAGTAATTAATGGGAAAAATGGATGCATTTGCAAGATTACTGGAAAACAGAACAAGAACTGGGGAGAGTGTTGAAATATCTGCTTGTTAAACTTCACCAGTATTATTTTTATATAGTTCTAAGTAATCTTTACTTGTGGGGGGTTTTTTGCCATCAAGTCACAGACAACTTACGATGATCCTGTAGAGGAGAGGTGTCAAACTCATTTGTTACGAGGGCCGGATCTGACATAAATATCACTTTGTCGGGCCGGGCCATGTGTGCTTTAAAACGTATTGCCAGGTACCAGAGATAGAAACTGTCTAAAGGACAGCAGCTGGTAAGCTCTGAGCTGCTGTGTCCTCACTGCAAGGCCCCATGGGCTGGGAGGGGGGTGCAGAGGAAAACCCAATTAGGCGGACTGGAGAGCCAGCAGTGCAGCACTGGGCAGATGCTCCCACGCTGCTTGACTGCTGCAGATGAGGTTGTTCTGCCGTGCTGAAGCCACAATGGAGTGGCTCCCCCCACTCCCCCCCAATACTCCCTCCCTTGCACCAGTTGCTCGCGGGCCGCATAAGAGGCCTGGATGGGCCGGTTCTGGCCCTTGGGCCTGATGTTTGACACCCCTGCTGTAGAGCTTTCAAGGCAAAAGCCATTCAGAGGTGGTTTGCCATTGCCTGCTACTGTGTAGTGACCCTGGTCTCCCTTCCAAATACTGACCAGGGCCGACTCTGCTTATTTTCCAAGATCTGAAGAGACTTGGCTAGCCTGGGAAATCCAGATCAGGGCAACCTTTACTCGTAAGAGGCCTGAAAGATTTGTATGCCAAATGTCACCATTATTATTCAGAGTTCTAAGTCAGCATTCCAGTCTATCTAGGGGGCCTATCCTAAAGAAATTCATACGAGTGAAGAGAAAATTAATTTTCACCTGTAGTAGCCCTGACTGCCTACTGGATATCCTTGCCATCTTCTAGTATAGTATATAAAACAGTCTCCACGGTGTCATCTTATGCAGTTCCCGAAATCCAAGAACTGTAGCGTCTCAGCCCAAAGAACTACAAAGCACCCATTTCTGAAAATGCAAGGCAGGAAAAGTCTGATCTTTGTTACTAGTGGCTGATACACAGGGATACACTGAGACATCTGCTTTGTACACAGAAGGTCCCAGGTTCAATCCCCAGCATCTCCAGTTGAAAGGATCAGATCATAGGTGATGACAAAGACCTCTTCCTAAGACCCCAGAGAGCCGCTGCCAGTCTGAACAGACAATAGTCACCATCAGGGTTCCCTCTAAGCTGAGTTAGTGTGAGCTAAGCTCACTGATTTTTAGCCTCCAGCTCACACATTTTTGTCTCAGCTCAGGAAGGACGGGCTCCAGAGCAAACTAATTTATGCAGCAACCAAATCAATTGCTCACAACTTTAATGTCAGTGGCTCACAAAGTAGAATTTCTGCTCACAAGACTCCACAGCTTAGAGGGAACACTGGTCACCATGATGGACCAAATGGTCTGATTCAGTATAAAGCTGTTTCTGGTGTTACTGTGTTCACGTGAAATACTCCTGATAACTTAACTGTGGGTTGAAGGGCTAAAAGTGGGACTGCATGTTCCATCTCTCACCCTTCCCCAACCATTTTGGCTTAAGTTCCTCTACCAGTGATTTCCATGAATAATGCTTAACCCTAACCCAACCCTGTCTAACCATTTCATCCTTTGACGTCCCCTTCTTTTACCTTCAGTCTTTCCCAGAGAAGACCCTGATGCTGGAAAAAAATGAAGGTAAAAGAAGAGCCGTCGGGTTAGAATGGATAAAAGGAAGTACTTCTTCACCCAAAGAGTGATTAACACATGGAATTCACTGCCACAGGAAGTGGTGGTGGCTACAAGCATGGACGGCTTCAAAAGGGAATTAGATAAGCATATGGAGCAGAGGTCCATTGGTGGCTATTAGCCACAAGGTATAGATAGGGGCTCTGGGGCAAGTGATGCTCTGTCTTCTTGGTGCTTGGGGGGGGGGTCAACAGTGGGAGGGCTTCTAATGTCCTGGCCCCACTGGTGGACCTCCTGATGGCACTGGTATTTCTGGCCACTGTGTGATACAGAGTGTTGGGCGGGATGGGCCTTTGGCCTGATCCAACATTGGCGTCTCTTATGTTCTTAAGAAGGGGACGTCAAAGGATGAGATGGTTAGACAATGTTATCAATGCAACAAACATGAAATTAAGCAAACTCCGGAGGACGACAAAAGACAGGAGGGCCTGGCGTGATGTATCCATGGGGTCGCGAAGAGTCGGACTCGACTGTGCGACTGAACAACAACAAAACATGAAGAACAATCATGGTTAACACTAACCTGGTCTGAAAACTGAGGTTAAAGCCAAACCCTAGTTAGCTTCTTCATGGTTGTGTTAACACAAGTTTGGATCCTGGTTAAGACTAGTAGTTTGAGGGAATTCATGCTGGAGTGGGGAAGAACTCACAAAAGGAAGCACATCAGCTCTGTTGCCTGCTCTTAATGCCCTTAGCTGCAGTAACGGTATATATAGACTTGCCCTGGTTAGAGAAATACAAGTAATGGAACAACTTTTTATGTGGCTTTAACTGTATTTTATGTACTGATTGTGAACCGTCCTGACCCTGCATTGCGGGGAGGGCGGGGTATACAGGTGATTAATAAATAAATAAACTTTGGAGGAACCTAGAAGTACCTGCATCAATGAATCTAATTCTGACAGATAATGTGGATAAAAAGATCCACAGAATGGGGCAAAGGACAGAAAGGGGTATTGTTCTGTAAGTCTGGGGGAAGCCCCAGGTTTGTAGAAGAATATGAAATATAACAGTACATCTGGAGTTGGAAGAACACAGAATTATAGAAGCAATGTTTGCTACTTCAAGTGCTCCTAAGATGCTATGGGACTACACCGTGAGATTTTGGTAGACATTTTGGAGGTTGTTAGGGAACTCTCCACGAACACTGCTGAGCAAAGCTTTGTTAGTGTCAGGGAAGAGGAGAGGAGAGAAATGTACTTTAAAATAAAGGTTAAAGATAGCATGGAGAGAAGGTAAAGCTGGAGTGGGGGAGAAACAGAAAAGGTCAAAAGGAAAAGCTGAAGATGGGGGAGAACAGAAAAAGGTTAGGGAAGAGACACAGGCTGCTAGGGAGAGGAAAGAGGAATGCAGGTACTGCCAGGGGAGGGGGAGAGGAACATGAGATTCCCCCCCCCACTACCACAAGTCCCCTGTAGGTCTTCCACTTGCTGTCTTCTATATTCCTTCCCTCCCCCACCCTCCATAGTTCATTTTATGGCTTTGAATTACCAACAGACGTATCCATTTCCATGGAACATTTCTAGATGCTACGAGGACTCCCGTGCCATTAAGTCCTAGTACAAGAAGCAGCCCTTAGATATTTCAATCAACTTCAGTGAAGCTTTAACCAGACCATTTTTTAATAAAGTCGATCCACCTGGCTCTCAACAACCTTCGCTCAACTGCACAACTTTTCACAGAGCAGGGGAGGGGCTGCAATGTTGCTGTGGCCAGGCTGAAAAATCATTCAGCCCCAATATGAGAGCGACTCTTTGTCCTGAACAAACTGTCCATTTCTCCCCCCCTTAAAGACAAAACTCAGAGGCAGACTCATTTTCAAATTGATCTGAAGCCGAAATCCTGGCTGCACTTAAAATGTATAAAGTGCACCTCTCATTTGCGTGCTTCACTTTGGCAAGACCACCTCATTCTTTGTGAAATTAAAACCAAAGCTCTGAACGAGAGCCAAGCGCACCTTTATCTATTCCCATCCCATTCTGACAGATGTATTCCATTCATATTTGCGTCTCCCCATCTTCCCGCCCCCGCTCACCACTGAAAGTATTTTGGCAAGGAATCTGCGCGAGTCGGGCAGCGCCAAATAAAACTTAGGACGCAAAGTCTTGTGTGCTGGAGGCAGAGCTCTTCATCATCTGACATAGCAAGCAGACTAGCTGGCTGGTGCCGCCCCTACTCCCAGTGTTTCTATCCTTTTCACCCCACAGTTAACCAGCGCATCGCTTTTCATGTGCCATCCATGTCTCCTCTGCTTATTCTGCCCAGTGTAATACTTCTGGGTTCTAAATGC